GAGTTACACTTCAACAGTATTGGAGCTAATCCTGCGAGAGAGCATCTAAGCAGTATGAAGTAGTAGTGAAGCAATATTCTGTGTGTATTTCTACTTCAGACAAGAAACTGGAAAGCACTTAAAATTGGTTAAGCAAATAATTAAATATTTTATGAAGAAATGCAGGTATCTCAGTTTACTTATGTGAGAGGAGAATGTAAGCAGCTATCAAGGTGTCTCTTAAACTACATATACCAGGATGTGCTTTGAAGATCAGTCCGTATGACTATAGCATGGGTTAACCCAATTCAGTGGACATTTCCACTCTGCATCTCCAGTTGTGACATATCTGTACAGAACTTTCATTTTGGACTAGATCATTCATCCTGCAACAACTGCTTGGAATCTGACCGCACTGGAGCTTCCTGTCACCCTGAGGTGAGGAGATTTCTACAACATATTATGAAAGACTAGGCTGGAAAGAGAAAGGCACCAGGATGCTTTCTGACCAAAATGCTGATTCCTTTAATAATTTTCAGGATTCCCTTGAGATGCTCTGAGTTCTTGTCAGGGAAAAACTTGACAAAGGCAATCAGAACAAGGAGAGCTTTGATGACTGGTATCTTGCTGAAGAGCAGATGGATGCAGACCACACCCTGTTCCTGAAGCGCAGCTGCAGCCACTGGTCTATACCTTGAGGCTACCCTGCAGAACCAGAAGTATAAAAGAGGACATGGATTTCCCCACAATCAGATGGACATGGGAATCCAGTGGCTGAGCCAGGTGTAGCAGGTTGCACTGGGAACAGGAGATCCACTGGCTGGGAGCCAGAGAAACCTCAGACTAGAAATACTGTCTAATATTTCATCAGATTCCTCCTCACCAAGTCTGTATGCAGGGACTTAGTTAAACTGAAGGCGCAAACCTGATAGAGATGCCAGGGTAAAATCTCTAATTTTGTCTAGCCTTTTATACATTCTTATACAAGACCAGATTATCTCAACAAATCCTACTGACTGGAAAATCCCCAATTAAGGCATATTTTAGAAACTATTTCCATCATATCCATGTCACTGAAATTTCCCCCTTTATTGAAATAAGTTCTGCTCTGATGAACTCCTGATGACCTTCCTAGTCTCCCTAGTAACCTCAGTGTTGCGCCATGATTTACCATTTTAGGTTTATATATATATAGAATAAATGTTTTTAATAGGCCTGTAGGCCACTGAACTCACCACAATATTTTCAATCTTAAATAGTGTTCGCATGAGTAAAAATTCAAAATCAGGACTTCTGTGTCACCTTCAGATTAATTCAGTTGCATCTGAATTACTCTGTACAAATTATTACTATTCAGAGAATTTGTTAAGAAATAAAAGTTAGTGTCATTGTCATCCACCAGCCTTTGAAAGGTTCCTGTCAGTGTGTTACAATCATTTATAATTAGTACTTGTCTCTGCTGCTCTTTACCAACTAAGTTATGATATCGTTATTTTACTCACATGATCAATTTAGGATGCAGTGCAAGAAAGAGTTATACAGGTAATTCAAAAAAGTGCTACTCTCTTCTATCATAAATGGTACTACAAAAAAGGACTTTGAGACGGTCACTTTTGGTTTTCTGTGAATTCAACACACATGACTCTTTTAGTTTGTATATATATGATAGCCCAAACCAAAGCAACTCACTTTCAAACAGTGCATAAACCTAGCCCATTTAAGTGGTCCTACCTATTAGGTGTTCTGTTTGACCCCTACTAACACAATTCCTCTAGAGCTTCAAAGAAAAAACACCTATTCTCCTGATGCCCTTGTAATCTACTCTGTAGACAGACTTGTGCATTCAGAAAAAGAAGTTGAACAAGCTCAACAAGTGCTCACCTGTAAACTTTTCTGTCCAGCTCAAAAAAGCTTGAATATGCAGCAAAGGTAGTTTTTTTTAACATCAGGCACATTTAATAAACAGAAAGTTAAAAGTAAATGAAAATTTGTTTCAATTTGCTGAGAGACTATTTAACAGATTGACATAGTTTGAAGTTTCCTTGAAACCGCTGTAAGAAGATTATGTGCAAAGAATATAAGTATTTCTTAGTATTTAGGTCCCTTTAAACTTTATACCAACAAAAGAAAATATTAACAAACTTTCAATAAAATAAACTGTATTTTAAGCCACTGGGAGTGCTGAATAACAAGTTCTTTGTTGTCACATCATGAACAAAGAACGTAAGAGTGAGGATAATAATGAATAAACACCACAGATGTTCAAATGAAACAGTAAATCACTATTATCAAGCACTAAGAAACCAACATTGTTATGACAGGCTTAACTCTGATCCAGGAATTTATAGGAGAGGAAAACGTAGGCTGTATTATATATTTTCCTAAGAGATACTTTGAAAAGAAAATATCAGTTGACATTTGTACCTGCTGACAGTTGCATTTCAATAGAGCATTTATAATTGCTTTGAGAACATCAGACTACAAAACAAAAGGGAAGCTATGGCCAAAATTAAGTTAAGCTTACAATATACTTTTAGGCATGCTGACCAGCACATACCATTTACAGAAGTATAAATTAAAATAAAAGTTACAGTTATGGTGTACTTGCATGGGTGGAACTAAGAAAATAACATTAATTATATTGTCAGTTCTTATGCTCTGCCTATCAATTATCTGTTTATTTGAATTCAACAATAATAATGGGTTTGCCGAACATTTAGGACTACAGTGACTGCTGGGTAAGTACTCTTTCCCTGCACACATCTTGTAGAAAGGCTCACAGCACAATTTCTGATACAGAAGAGATATCTGCTATTGACAACAGTCCTTCAAAATACTGACCCATTAAATTACATCAAGTGCATTGGCCATTCTGACCTGCAAGTGCTGAAGGTGAAGAACTGGAGGTAAACAACTCCTTTATGGGAAAGAGTTCCCAGACTTTGGTGTAATGTCATGGTGTAATGTTTGGTGCCATGTCATGGAACAGCTTCTGGAGCAGTATCTTAAAAGAATAAACTCTTGGTTGGGCTCAACTTCCAGTGTCCTTGCTTAGGCTTTAGCTCCATTTGTTGCAGCTGAAGCAACTTTATTCATACTCAGCACAAAGTACTTTGTGTATACATGCATACTAAAAATGATGCAATTTGCATCCTTTTAAAAATATGTGTTGAAAAGGCAGACTGGCTCCTGCAAGATAGTTTTAGAAAAACTGGCAGAGTTGGTTCAGCCCGGTCTGCTCTTGAGAAAAAGCATTACTCCTGTGTTTTAGTTTGAGCTTCAAGGAAAATCTTGGGCTGAAACTATAGAGAGGCATCCAAAGAAGCAGATAAATAGTATTTCCATCCTACTTTGGAGCAGACTTTAAAGAGTGCCAGAGGTCCTAAGATCCCCGGAAACACCCATGAATTGCAATGCACTACATACCAGAAAATCGTGATCTGCACCCCATGTCCATCTGATGTCACTTAAAAGAAAAAAAAAAAAAAAAAAAAAGGAAGGGGGGGAAATCTTGCAAACACCAGTTTTCCATGTAGCCTCTGAAAAACAAAGTCAAGGCTGAAAACAGTTGATTCAGATACATGGATATTCATAGCAAAGGTTCCCTTTTATCTGAGATGTCCTGGAACACAGAACAAAACAATGCATGTAAGTTACCTCTTTTTCTCACTTCTTATCACCTTATTTATAAATTGTAATGTTAATGAGATGCATCCATAGTAATCTACACCTAGTTTTATAATCCCACAGTCTGACAAGCAAAGCAAATTTTTTTTTTTTTGGTAGTTCTCCTCCTTTGTAACAAAGTCTTTGAACTGATAAATTAGCATGCATATTCTTTTCTCTCAAACCACTTGATAATTTCTTTCACACCTGAGGTACACTATGATCGTTAAGAAACATTCTGAAGATGCACAGCTGCACTGGTATCATTTTCATCAATGCCTTTGAAAAACATTTCCATAATTTATCAAGGTTTTAAAAGACACAGGCTAAGAAAATTATAATCAGTGGTTTTTCAACTAGGATAACACAGCAGCCTTCTGAAGATGAGAGATGTGATGAGATCAACATACCTCAAACATCATTCAGTTTGGGGAAGGGGTCTAGAGTATGATGGACTTCAAAATTTTTAATAGATTTTTTCCCTTTTTTTTTTTTTGCCAGCCTTTACACTGCACATTTTTATACCCTGTAGAATGATAACTTCGTCTTCCATTTAAAACACACACTGAGCAACAGTCAAATACCCTTTATTTATACCTAAAGTGCTGCTTTGTGATTTTTATGAGTGAAACCTGTGGAATGGTTCGTATTAGCTCTGCATCATTAATGGAGTTGAATTATCACGTTGCTTTTCGTTGTTATGGGTACTAATAACACATGTCCACAGCTGTACCAAACTGTTGTTTCTTCAGAGGTCTCCAGCTCAATTTTCTAACTCTCCTTTAAAACGCACGTTTCCAACTTCTGGGACCTGAGCAGCTGCGCTGCTCCATCCCACGCGTGAGGCGGATCCCGCTCCCGAGCGCTGCAGCGGCAGGAGCCGGTGCCGTGCGGGAGGCCCGGCACAGGTCCCACTGCCGCGGTGGCTGCCCCGCACCAGCAGCCGCAGCCGCGCCAGCCGCGCTCCCGGCCCCTCTCCCCGCAGCCGCCGCCGGGGACGGGCGGCACCGCGCGGGGGGCTCGGGGCACCGGGCCGCCCTCGGCACGGGGAGCTTTACCAGCGCCGAGCCGAGCCTGGACTCAGCAACCCGCCCAGCGAACAAGTGGGATGCGGCTGAAGTTTTACTTTGCCGGTGCCGGCTCCCGCCGCAGCCGCCCGCGGGAGCCACAGCGGCAGCACCGACACCTTTTCTGGCCGAAGTTTGGCGGCGCAACACGCCGCCTCTCCTGCTCCTGCCCCTGCCCCAGTCCCTGCCCCTGCCCCGGCCCCCGCCCGGAGCCCCCGGGCTCAGCCTGGGCGCGATTGGCGGTTCGGAGTGGCGGCGGGGGCAGGTGCGCGTCCCCGCCGTACTCACCCGCTCCCCAGGCGCACGGTCAGCAGCAGCAGCAGCAGCCGGGCCCCGCGGCGGCCGATCCAGCGGGGCGCGGGGCCCCCCCATGCATCCATGAGCGTGAAGGCGCGCTCCCTTGCCCGAGTTTTCTCCGGAGAGCCTGGGAAATTGCGACCCTACCGATCCCACCACCCCGCGGCACACGGCAGGGAGAGGGAGAGGAGGGGAGGAGAGGGGAAGGGGGGGAAAAAATAAAATAAAACACCCAAACAGGTAGAAACCCACTCTGCAAGGGCCGAGCAACTCGCCCAATAGGCTCATCAGGTTGCTTCATAAATTATCCTAAAAACTGTTGGACGAATCAATCCCTAGCAGAGGTGGAGCCTCCTTTACTAGAAGGGAAACATGCCTGGGAGAAAGGGTGGCATTGATTTGGGTATTTTTCTCCAAAGAGGGAAATGGACCAGACCTTACGTATGTACATATACATGTAAATATAAATAGGCAAAATGTATAAAATGTTAAATACATGTTTAAAGCTACACATATACGTTTAAATATTTCTATTTTTGAAGCTACTCAGAGGGCGACTCTCAGAGACGCAGCCGGTCCGGTCCTCCCTGCCTAGCGGAGACCCGCAGCCGGGAGCAGAGGCACAGGAGGATGTGCACGGACACCCGCGGGGCTGCGCGTCTCTACGTCTGGCACGATGGAGGTTTTGAGGGGGGCGGCCCTAGCCGCGGGGAAGGGGGCATCCGCCATCCCTCGTTCGTCCCCAGGAGAGGGAGCACACCCCTCCAGCCGCAGTCCCTACAGCCGTGCTGGAGGAGGCGGCATGCCGGGCGCGCAGGGGCAGCCGCGGGAATTGCGCGCCGCCCCGACGCGAGCGGCGCAGGCTCGGCGGCTGCAGGCGGCTCTGCGCGGCCGCGGAGCGCCCGGGGGGACGGGCGGGAGGCGGACGATGCGCCGTGCTGCGCTGTGAAATGCGCCAGGGCGTGCAAAACGCAAGGGTATGGGGTTTGGGTTTTTTTCGTCTTTTTCCCTTCTTGTCTCCTTTCGGCTGCTCCCTCCTCCCGGTCTCTCTCCGGAGATGTAGGCGGGAAAGTAGCCAGACATGCCCCCAGCAACCCCGCACAACACACCCGAACCCGAGAAAGAAAAGCACCGCGGCCGCGGCAGATACCGCAGGTTCCGCGCTCGCAGGCTTTGACCGGCCGTGGGGGCGAGTGGGCACGTCGCGGCGGGACCAGCGCTTAGATAACGCGTGTTTCTTCTCTCGGCTTCAGGCTGCCACCAACCCGAATCCCTGACCCCGGCGATGCCCTTGTTCGCAGCTCTGTACCGGGCACTGACGGAGTAACCTGTGCACCGAATTCTCGGTGGAAGTAGCAAACCGTTTTACAGCCATCATCATCATCCTTCTTTGAGTCAAGTTGCCACTGTACACAAATGTAAATAATCCCCCATCCATTGGTTCTTCCTATGAAAAGCAGTGTTATGTCTTCCTTACACATCATCATCTGGTTATTATTTTATATATACAGCTTACTGCTTTAATGGTTAAAGAAACTCACCATGCTTCAGAGAGCTGCAGCACATTAAATGAACATTCAACAACTTGAAAATTAATAGCCAGTCCTGGAGGTACTGGCAGACGGTAAAGGCACATATTATTTCATGACCTGAGGTCTCTTTACTGGTGGATTAACACAGCAGGCAGCATCCTAGCATGATGGCAAAGGCATGAGCTCAGAGCATATGCATTTATTGCAGAGTAAGTGCAGAAGCAGCTCCTCTGCTGCAGCTGGTGGCACTAGCTCCAAGAAGCAGGATTGCTGATCCTCTCAACAAGACAATGAGCACAGCCCACCCCCAAGTGCCCCTCTCTCTGGGAAGTCCCTCTGCCCTGAAAATGGCCATGGTCCTTAGGTTTATTATAAATTTATATGTCAAATTGACTGCATTTTGCAAAATATGCAATGAATGCTTATGTCTTTGCATTCTGATGTTTGTGGAATCATTAAAGCTCTTTACCAGTCTATAAATTTCCACCCTGTCACTGAAAGATATGCAATTAAAGTAACTCTTGCAAAAATTTGACATTAGAAGTTTAAACATACTTACAGGATACCAAGACATCTTTCTACATAAGCAGTTTGGAGCATCTACTTAAAAACTTAATTTCACTCCTGTGTAGATCCAGCAGCTTGCTAACAGTGAAAGAGGTGGAAGATTACAGCTAAAATAACATGTAGCATGAATAGTGAGAAAATGGAATTTTTCATTTTATTTCGGGGTTGAGAACACTAAGGCATATGGAAGTACTGTTAAAAAAATTAAAAGCGGCGCCAATGGTATTTCTCAAATGACACAAAACTAAGGATGGCATCTGGACAAGCTGGTTTGAGGTAGTCCCAAATCTTTATTTTTCTTGTATTTCCATGTTAACAATAGAAATCCATCCCTCTAAAAAGAGAAGAAATTATTCCATAATTAAATAATATACTAGATAAGAAATAGGTATAAAAGTTTTGAAAAGCAAACAGGGAACAGAAAATAACAAAAAAAACTTTTACCATCAGAAGAAAACATGAAGGGAAAGAAATCAACTCAGACTGTCTGTATTCCTAAGGAAAACAAAAGAAGCAATAAATGAATTTTAAAACTGCAAGATAGAAAAGAGAATATCAAATAAAAGCTGGGGAGGTCACCTAGTTGAGTGTCAAAAGAAGGAGATGTTGATACAGGACAATATACTAAAAGATAGTGAGTTAGTTACTAAGGCCTGCAGGTATTTCTCCTCTGCTTGGTACTGGCACAGCTGACCTAACAACAGTATTTCAATTCTCAGTTAAAAACACCTTCTGATGCTGGAAGTAAGAAGGCCGTCTTTAAAAAAACCCACTAAGGTGAAGAAGTGAGTTAATCATGTCTCTTCAGACCTGCTAAGCATAATTTCAGAAACATCAAATTAATCAAAGTTAAAGAAAACTGTAGGATTCACATCACTACTATTACTAAGGAGGAACAAACCAGAATGCCTTCTGCAATGGAAAACCACGTCTGTATCTTCTTCAGTCGCATTTAATGAGTCTATCAATAGAAGAACAGAGCTTCATAATTCAATGTCTTTCAAAACCATTTTAGGTCTATCAGAAATTTGTTAAAGAAGATGCATAGTTCTGGGGTCAGTAGGAAAGTAAGGCCAGCTTTCAGACACTGCTTGAGACTACTGTTAGCAATTAACTTTCCATGTTAAACAGCTGAGTTCTTACAAATCTGCTCTTGAGACTATTGTATTTAACTGATTACTCGCTAAACTAATGGTTTCGAAGAGAAGAAACACAAAAATTTGAAGATGAAAGTTTCAGATTGGTGAAGTCCATTGAAAAAAAAAACGTTAATATATTGTTAAGTCATCACAGTGTAGAATATCAATTATAAAATGGGAAGTGATGACATGCTGACAAATGGAAAAATAAAAATAATTCATGGGTTAAATTTGGTAAAGATTGTGAGTACCTAAATGTAAAATCACATCTCAGCTGCCTAGTAGTAGAAAATCAAGAGAAGACATATATTCAAAATTAACTGAAATTTCTCCAGGATTGTAGAGGAATACAAACAGGAGGAGCACTAATTTGAGCAGCTCAGCACCTAAACTTTGCCCAAGCTCACCGGAAAACTTTCTCTACTCTTTAGATTTATGGAGTGCAAGATAGGATAATCCAATGTAAAAGACCTCTAAAACACAGCCAGGCTAGATTACCAGCTCTCTAATTTCTTAAAAGTGTAATTATTGATTTGGATTCCATGGTAATACACCTAACCTCATGCACTATAAAAGGAGTAAAGGCACTTAGCACAAGCTCTTGATTTCCGGTCTTTGAGTCACCTACTCAACCACAAGGTACCTACAATCTATGATTCATCTAAAAGGATATGAGAATGAATTTTCATTATTAAAGCTGAAGTCCAAAGAGAAGGAGGAGGAAAAAAATCTGCCACATTAATATATAAAAAGCAAATATCACTGTATTTTTCACCTGGGAGGCTTCACACTTAATATTGAAGAGCATTTTGATTCTTCACAATTCAATTGCTCAGGACCACAGAGGAACTTAAAAACACTCTTATGTAATTTTACATAGCTGACGTCCTACATCTGCTGTATTTCTCTTGGATATAGCTACTTCTCTGACAGGAGCATATGAGGATTGATGCCAGATTTGTATGCCTGCATACCATTTTGAGTGCATAAGAGCTTTGAAAACGTGGACTTAGTGGATGGCCCATCTTCGTTCACTGTGCTTGAGGGAAGTTAATGGCTCTCATGTGGTTTTTTAAGGAGCACTTACCTGCTGAGAACAAAGTTATCCAGTGTGTGGAGATGGAAGAACAAATTATTATGGTGTTCTGTCCTTCACAAAAAAACAACCATATAGAACAGCAAGAGCTCAAGGACCACTGCAGTTATGTCTTCAGAAGGGTAGGTTTACATAACAATATTTTGATGAAAATGCACACCTTAACTGTGTATTCACAAAAGAATTTCCTGTGTGGACCTCACACCTTAGATTTATAGAATCAGAGAATACTTTAGGTAATCTGACTTTAAAGGTCATCTAGTTCCAATCTGCCTGTCATGGGCAGGGACAATTTCAAAATGTACACACATGTCATTGTGTGCTTGCATTTGAGTAAGCACAAACATAAGAACAGAGTCACATGCGTGGTATTTAAAACCTGCAATCAAATGAAAACACTTCCATTCTTCTGAGGGAAGTTCAGAAAATGTGGTTTTAAATATGTGTCATCATGGTTACCTACCTGAATGTTTACTCTAATATAAATTTAAAGAGCTATCTTAAACAGCATAGTAGCATAGTACTGCAACAAATGTAAAAACATCTCAAAAATAAAGAAAACTAATGAAAACATTTTGGTACTGGCCTTTTTAAAAGGGGCCTTTAGACTTGATGGTGGTGGATATCCACAGGTGGAGAAGAGAAAGATGCAGAAATGTAACTTCAGTGCACTTGTATTTTGTGATTTGAACCACAAAATAATTGCTTTCAGTGAAACAGTCAACATCTTAATAGAAAATAAATTATAA